GCAGTCCAGTGTTGATAGAAAATTCAGCTGAAAAAACTCTAGAGGAGGACATGTCCATCAGCTAAAGTCACTAGAAAAAGAGTGGGCAAGATTATATGAGTATGCCCCATGCCCAGTCAACTGAAGGTAGCAGCATGTAACCCATGGTCTATAAATACCAGTCCTGTACAGAAAAAACAAAGAGAAACCAGTGTAAGGGATATAAGTGTACTAAAAAACAATAGTGTTTATTGAAAATTGCATAAAAAGCAGATCATATGATGCACTTACAAAAGGAGAGTTGAAGAGGCTGCTTTATCTTCTGGACTGATCGTGTCACCCAGCTAATCTGATGGTGAAATGAATGGCCAGGCTGCAGATTGAGCTGCACTGCTCTCCTGCTGGAAGCTGCTGACAGAATCTGGTCCTGGAGCTGACACTTGTGAAGTCCACCCTCTAGGATGTCATCTTCTGATGGCATGTTCCCATAACAGAATGCATTTCTGGGGTATTTGTCCTTTTCCCAGTCTGCAGCCCAGCCAGGTAGTTCACCATAGGGATAGCTGGATGACATGATCAGTCCAGGAGTTACAATGGCACATTGTCTCATTATATCCGCAGCCCCTGCAACTGTCCTTTTTGTTTGCATTTGCTTTTATTCAATTTTCAATAACCACCATTGTTTTTATTACACTTACTGTAGATCCCCTGCACTGCTTTCTCTTTGTTTTCTCTTTGCTTGTATCCAGATCTGGTTTCCTGGCAGCATTGGATTTTCAGTGTATGTCAGATGCCTGTATTTAATATTCAACCACCCATGGTCATTAGTGTCTTCAGGTCCTTGCTGGTACAGTTGTGTTCAAAATAATAGCAGTGCGTTGAAAAAAGTGAACAAAGCTCAAAATCCTTCTAATAGCTTTTATTTCCATACACACAAATGCATTGGGAACACTACACATTCTATTCCAAATCAGAACATGAAGAAAAATATAACAAATTTGTGTTGTTCCTCTAAAAAAATTGAAGAAAAGTGAGACTGTTCAAAAAAATAGCAGTGTTTGTATTCTTCTTTACAAACTCAAACATTCACTATATAAACTGAAAAATGTTTGAAGATTTTGCTTTCCTTTGAATCACTTAATGAATATTTAGTTGTATAAGCACTGTTTCTAAGAACTGCTGTACATCTGTGTTGCATGGAGTCACCCAACTTCTGGCACCTGTGAACAGGTATTCCAGCCCAGGATGATTGGACTACATTCCACAGTTCTTCTCTATTTCTTGGTTTTGCCTCAGAAACTGCATTTTTCATGTCACCCCACAAGTTTTCTATTGGATTAAGATCCAGGGATTGGGCTGGCCACTCCATAACATCAATCTTGTAGGTCTGGAACCAAGATGTTGCACCTTCCTCCTCTGCAAGACCTCTGAGTGCCTCTAAACCAGTTTTGGATTTATATGGACTTCTTCGTGGTTGAGCACAAACATAAAGTGTCATGGCTACCTTTGTAACTATTATATACACTGCCCAAAAAAATTAAAGAAACACTTTGAAAACACATCACATCTCAATGGGGAAAAATATCATGCTGGATATCTGTACTGATATGGACTGGGTAATGTGTCAGGAATGTGAGGGCAGCACAGTGGCTGAATGGTTAGCACTTCCACCTGGCAGTATTAGGGTCATTGGTTTGAATCTCAGCCACAGCACCACCTGCCTGGAGTTTGCAAGTTCTCCCTAGTATATGTATGTATGAATGGATATAAGTTAGGGATCTTAGACTGTACACCCCTTGAGGGTTAGGGACTGAATGAATGTACAATATATATGTAAAAGCACTGCATAAATTGACAGTGCTATATACAAGTACCTGAAGTAAGTAAAGGTTCCCCCATCATTTGGTGGAAGTGAAAATTATCAACCTACAGAGGACTGAATTCAAATCACTCCAAAAATCAAAGGGAAAAAATTATGCAGCAGGCTAGTCCATTTTGCTGAACTTTCATTGCAGCAACTCAAAATGGTACTCGGTAGTTTGTATTGCCCCCACATGCTTGTACGCATGCCTGACAACGTCGGGGCATGCTGCTAATGAAACACTGTCCTGGGGTACATACTCCCAGATCTGAACCAGGGCATCACTGAGCTCCTGGACAGTCTGAGGTGCAACCTGGTGATGTCAGATGGACCGTAAAAAATTATATCCCAGAGGTGTTCTATTGGAGTTAGGTTAGGCGAGCGTGGGTGCCATTCAGTGGTATTTATTCCTTCATCCTCCAGGAATTGCCTACATACTCTAACCACATGAGGCCGAACACCAGGAGGAACCCACTGCACCAGCGTAGGGCCTGACAATGAGTCCAAGGATTTCATCCCAACACCTAATGGCAGTCAGGGTGCCATTGTCTAGCCTGTAGAGGTCTGTGCGTCCCTCCATGGATATGCCTGGAGGATGTTAAACCCTATTAAGGCTCACAGTCCCTGTAGTCAGGAGTGGAAGTTCTTTTTTCACCTGAATATCACTGCAGACCTCCAAAATTCCGGGTCCCAAATAAGCTACTACCATTGCTGATAGCACTGGAAGTCAGTCCTCTCCTTTGTACAACTGTCCCAGAGTCCTTCACCCTGTACAGGTGAGACCCCTGAGAACATCCACCTTAAAAGGAACACAACCCGAATATTGGTGCCGCATAGAACCTGTCCAGGACCCACCCTTGACGTCCTGCACAATGTATATATATGCCTGCTCACAAGCCAATAGGGTATACATTCTTATTATGGATAAAACCACTATAAGTATCATGAACATATTTATAAGTATATGATTTTAAGTCATAACACAATGCTGCAAAGTACCTATGTTGATTGGATATGAAAAGATTTTATCTTGACACGATATCTCATTGCCGGAAAAAGGATTTCTAAATATTAATATGGGTTGGTTATGTGTAATTTTCTTTGTTAATAGGGATCTGTTTGGTCACAACTGTTATTCTAATCATATATGAAATTCTATCTTAACGTTTCCCATGTAATTGCTGCTGCCCTAGACTCTCCAAGGCATTCTACATATTTCAGAGAAACTGACATAATTGTAGCTGTGTATTAATTTATTATATCAGTGGTAATCACCAGGGAGTTTCCAATTAAACTAGAAATAGTAATATCTTATCTGAGGGTGCCACCCAGTGGCCAAGGGATGTAATGAATTAGTAAACATTGGTTAGATAATCAAACATTTCCCCCAATAGGAATAAGGTTACCTTCTGGACCACCCTCTGGGTGTATTTTATAAATGTATTATTCACAACTAGATAAAACAGGAAGGAGCACTCACAAAGGTAGATCATCTAAACACATACTTGAAGATTCATCTAGATCTGACACCTCATCACATCATCAGACCTACAGCTCCAGCATAGATAGACCCCATTTTAGGAAGGCATACTGACAGGGACCATTTTAAAGCAAACAGACATTTTAAAATGGTTACTATATTTTCCACATTTAATTATTGGTTTTTGTTTGTATGCAAGTATTTATGCTAATAGATTTGCTACCCCACCCGATACCCTAACACCCAAAGATTTGGTCATTTTAATTGCTTATTGGCACAACTATAGATGAACTTCACCTGATAATTTGACTGCAGGGGGTTCACAGGTCAATTAGTCCAACGCAGATTATTATCTGCCAAGTTTTATCCAATCAGTTAGCATATCTACAGTAGGGGAAAATCATTATTGTATCATCGGTATATTTTATGGTAAAGGGTTCAGGTTCAAACCTCACTGCAAAACTGTAGTGCGTGAGTTCACCTATTAATTAAACTATTTGTGGTGTTTGTAATTGACTTATTGTAATAAATATTAATCTATTCTTGATAATTTGCAGTCTATATTTACACTGATCTTGTTTGTGTTCTTAATGAATTTTGCTTGGCAAAATTTACTCAAAATATTTAATTAAAGTGGAGCTCCAGTCAAACTAAAAAAATACAAGTCAGCAGCAACAAAAACTTTAGCTGCAGACTTTTAAAAAACAGCCACTCACCTGTCCCATGATCTAGCAGCGTACTCACTGCAGCCGGTTTCATGGCTGTCCTCACTCCCTGACAGCATCTAAAGTGTGGATACCCAGCTGTGACAACTTGCGGCTTCACAGCCTGGTGCTCACTGCGCATGCGCGAGTAGCGCTGCGCCTTGTGAATTGTCCCATAGTCTTCTGGGGCCTGTCACATGTCCCAGAAGACTATGGGGAGGGAGGGAGGAGGACAACTTCTGCTTCCAAACGCCTAAGCGATTATAGCGTACATGGGAATAGGTACCTGCCACCGCAGCTGTTTTCACCAGCCATCCTTGCTCTCCGGTGTCAGCATCTTAAGTGTGGGCACCCGGCTGGGACAGCTTGCGGCTTCACAACCGGGTACCTACTTCACATGTGTGAGTAGCGCTGTGCTTTGTGAATGGTCCCTTAGTCTTGTGGGACTTGTCACATGTTCTAGAAGACTACGGGGAGAAGTTTGGGCACGACAACTTCCGGTTCCATTTGCCTAGTCGATCACAATGGAAGTGGGAGTGGTTACCTGTCAAAATCAGGTACCCGCTTCCCAATGGTTCCAATTCCTCAGGGGGAGTAGGAGACCAGAATTTAAAGCGAAACATCCCCTTTTGGGTGGAGCTCCACATTAAATCAGTTCAATTATTTTTATAAATATACTTTATATTGGAGGCACTGGTATTCAATCTATTTAGCTGACTGAATTAATCATTCAGCAATTCCCTCACACATTGCACCTACTGCACAGGCTAGTAGCTCTTAGGTATCTGCCCTTTTTAAATAGCACACATAATGGGGCTATTTATGCTTTTAATTGTCAATTAAATATCTATACTTGTCTGGAGGTTTTACAATTGGGTTGAGAGCTTAGGAAAGTTTTTACTTCTTTTAGTAATTGTTCCTGCATCCTGTACTGTATGATTAAGAATATATATTGCAGAAAGTCAAGCACGTAGGCATGCAGACTGTTTCTACAAACTTTTGTGAAAGAATGGGTCACTCTCAGGAGCTCAGTGAATTTAAGCATGGTACCGTGATAGGTTGCCACATTGCAATAAGTCCATCTGTAAACTTTCCTTGCTGCTAAATATTCCACGGTCAACTGTTAGTGCTATTATAAGAAAGTGGAAGCAACTGGGAACAACAGCAACTCAGCCACAAAGTGGTAGGCCATGTAAGATGACATAGCAGGGTCATGCTGAAGCGCACAGTGCACAGAAGTCGCCAACTGTCTGCAGTCAGTAGCAAAAGACCTCCAAACTTCCTGTGGCCTTCAGATTAGCACAACAACAGTGCATAGAGAGCTTTATGGAATGGGTCGCCATGGCCAAGCAGCTGCATCCAAGCCTTACATTACCAAGTGCAATGCAAAGTGTTGGATGCAGTGGTGTAAAGTACACCGCTACTAGACTCTAGAGCAGTGGGGACGTATTCTAAGGAGTGGCGAATCATGCTTCTCTGTCTGGCATTCCAATGGACATGTCTGGGTTTAGCAGTTGCCAGGAAAATGGTACTTGCCTGACTCCATTGTGCCACGCGTAACGTTTGGTGGAGAAGGGATTAGGGGTGTGGGGTTTGTTTTCAGGGATTGGGCTTGGCCCCTTAGTTTCAGGAGCATTTAGGACAATTTCATGCTCCCAACTTTGTGGGAATATTTTGGGGATGGCTCCTTCCTGTTCCAACATGACTGCGCACCAGTGCACAAAGCAAGGTCCATAAAGACATGGATGAGCGGATTTTGGGTGGAGGAACTTGACTGGCCTGCACAGAGTCCTGACCTCAACCCGATAGAACACCTATAGAATGAATTAGAGTGGAGACTGAGAGCCAGGCCTCCTCGTCTGAAATCAGTGCCTGACCTCACAAATGTGCTGCTGGAAGAATGGTGAAACTTTCCCATAGACACATTCCTAAACCTTGTGGACAGCCTTCCCAGAAGAGTTGAAGCTGTTATAGCTGCAAAGGGTAGGCCAACTCAATATTGACCCTACGGACTAAGTATGGGATGCCATTAAAGTCCATGTGCGTGTAAAGTCAGGCGTCCCAATTCTTTTGGCAATATAGTGTTTTTTATATATATATATATATATATATATATATATATATATATATATAAAAAGCTTCTATTGCCTATATCTCCAGGGTGGGTTTATTATGCAGGTAATGTTATGTATTCATGCAGGTTTATGACAGGTTTAATTTAGGGGCATGTGGCTGGAGTAAGGTGTGACTAGAATTCAAAGTACACCTCACTGTTTCTTATCCCTTGGACTTTGTATTTCACTGTATTCTTAAAAAAGCCCTTGTTTAAAACAAGAGAAGTAGTAGCAAAAGAATACTTTTCTTTTGTTACTATTATACTGTGCAGATATAAATACAGACATCTTCTTTATTTTGACAAGTGACTTTGAAAATGGAATCCCAGCCAAAAGTCCTCAATTTCCTTAATGAGATTTGGGAAAGAGGTTAATGGCTAGGAGACCATTAGCATAACGTCATTGTCTGATCAGGCCGGGATATCATTTATATTGCACTTCTTCAAGGAATACTCTGCAATATGCTGTTGTAAACTTGTGGATTCTTAACAAGATTGAGTTAGAAAACATTGCAAATGTTTCATCTGCCACATAAGTAAGCTTTAGATCAGGTGTGGCATTTAAACAGCTGAATTTAACAATGTTTGGTTCAGGGTAAAATATCTACAAAAAAAGACAATGTTAGGGGAGTGCTAGTGTGACTATTCACTGACACCTCAGTTAGCACCAAAGAAACATAAGTCACTTGCAGTGGTTGAATATGTGCTCAGTTATCAGAGACATGCCAGTCAATACACACATTTGCATTCCTCAGAGAGATCTACTGTCACTATGTGTTTATCAAAATAAATGTCATCTAGATAGGGTTTAGATCTACTTTAATGCTAAAGTACAGTGTATCATAAACAAAAATAGCCTAGACTTTTCTCACCAAAGCTGGCATAAAAATGTCTATCCTCCTGGGACAATACAAAAAAAAAAAAAGCACAGGAAAAAAGGCATGCTGGGTAGAAAGGGGTTATACTGGAAGCTGACTTTTGATTTCTCAGTTTGCCAGTGTACAACCCTTTTTTAGACAGCAGTTGCCAGGACCAGGATCTTAACCCACGACCTCTGCTGAATCCTGCAGTAGCTCTCCTTGCTGAGCCACCTGCAATGGCGGGCATCATTTTTGACGTTGGGTCTACTTTGGGGGACATTCTTTTATTTTTCTTCTTTTAATAAAGAACTTGTCAAAGACAGTCTCCTGTCTTTTTTCACAGTACACTTTTTTTTTGTGAATGGGTAGTGGTACCATGTACCCCATACTCATTCACATGGAGGGTGGGGGCCAGGATATAGGGGCCCCCTTGTTAAAGGGGGCTTCCAGATTCCGATAAGCCCCCCACCTGCAGACCCCCACAACCACCAGACAGGGTTGTGGGAAAGAGGCCCTTGTCCCCATCAATATGAGGACAAGGTGCGTTGGAGGGTGGGAGCCCCCTCTGCCCGAAAGCACCCCCCATGTTGAGGGCATGTGGCCTGATAGTTCAGGTTGGGGGGGGTGCTCGCTCTTTCCCCTCCTTTCCTAACCTGCTGGGCTGCATGCTTGGATAAGGATCTGGTATGGATTTTGGGGGGACACCCACACCATTTTTTAAAAAATTTTGGAGTGGGGGTTCTCCTCAAAATCCATACCAGACCCAAAGAGTTTGGTATGAATGGAGGGGGGACCCCACGCTGTTTTTTAAATTATTTTTTTAATTTACGGCAATTCTTTCTTTTACATTCAGCTGACAGCCGGGAACCCTGCTGACAGCTGAAACATTAAGGCATGGTTTTCACTACTAAAATACTGCATGACTTGATAAAATAACTCATGCGGTATTTTAGTAGAGTTTTACTGTGAATTCAGGCATTTTTTTTTTTAAATGCTATACTCAGATGTGCTAGGATACCGCTTAGTGAATTGTGCCCAGTGAGCCTCTCACCGGCCCCCTACTGACCCCAGGCCCTTGGGCAATCCCCGAATGGTCAGTCCACTCCTGTTATAGAGTGTGTGTCTTTTACTGTTACAAATGTTATATATTCCTCTTATGTTTATCTTTGCACTAAGGGGTAGTGTGTGAGCACTGCAAGAATAGTTTTAATGGATGGAGGAATGTGGGGGTTTTTTTGAGTTATGCCTGGAGGCTGCCCAAAACATTCTCTATGGCCAAATTAAGACTGCCAAGCGAACCATTTAAATTTACATGCCCCAATCACAATGCTACCTGCCACCTGCTCTGATCCCTGCTTATGGAATGCCACTAAAGAAAGAGCTATGTTTTGCAGGGAAAGTGTAACAAACACCTGACTAACACAGAGGTAAACTGAAAGATCACATGTTTATACCAGCTTAGTGTTTTCCTCAGTTCAACTCTTCTGTAAGGTTTCAGAATATCAATTAATATATTTTGTCCTGTTCCTTTTCTGTGTGTAGAGTGTCAATAAAATTAATTTAGCATTTACATCTACCTAACATAGCTGAGAATTTTTTTTTCTTGATTCACAAATCAAGGCGTTAGTAATGGAGCATTGTTTAGAACACAACATTAAATTTGAACTGAAAATATATTATTTGTTAAGAACAAATAATATAATTCCAGTTCAAATTTCAGTTTAAGATTAAATGGAAAATAGTCATAGAAAGAAGATTTGGCTCCGCACACCAGTGTCTACCGTGTGATTGCACAAACCACTTATTCTAGATAAATTGATGAATTTAAAAGGGGGAAAACTGCTTGGATAACTGCATAATCTATTTAAGTACCTATTTATCTTGAATCCACAAAATGAAAAGTAGGTTTTAAGAAAATTAAGGAAATCTATATCATCATATTACTATTCTTTCTAGAAAAACAATATGTGATGGTTGATCATAATCATAGGATTATTGTGGGTCTGAATTTATCAAATAACCAAAAATGATTGTTTAAAGATCACTCAGCTTACCATAAAGGATGCACAATTTAAAATAGCCACTAATCCCTTACTCAAATCACTGTAAAGGTTTTTCTACTTTAAGTGAAGTTAAGTCATACAGATACCGATGCATGCTAATACCTACCATTTTTCATAATTGAAATACTCTATCTTTGTTTGGTTATATAGCAGAGTAATGCAAGAATCATAGTTATCATCATATATACACTATATTGCTAAAAGTATTGGGACACTCCTCCAAATCATTGGATTCAGGTGTTCCAATCACCTCCATGGCCACAGGTGTATAAAATCAAGCACCTAGGCATGCGGACTGCTTCTACAAACATTTGTAGAATGGGTCACTCTCAGGAGCATGGTTCAAGCGTGGTATCGTGATAGGTTGCCACTTGTGCAATAAGTTCCTCCATGAAATTTCCTTGCTACTAAATATTCCACTGTCAACTATTAGTGGTATTATAACAAAGTGGAAGCAACTGGGAACAACAGCAACTCAGCCACTAAGTGGAAGGCCACGTAAAATGACAGAGCAGGGTCAGCGCATGCTGAAGCGCACAGTACGTGGAAGCCACGAACTGTCTCTCGAGTCAATAGCTAAAGACCTCCAAACATCATGTGGCCTTCAGATTAGCACAACAACAGTGCGTAGAGAGCTTCATGGGTCTCCATGACTAAGCAGCTACATCCAAGCCTTACATCACCAAGTGCAATGCAAAGCGGTGGATGCAGTGGTGTAAAGCATGCCACCACTGGACTTTAGAGCAGTGGGGACATGTTCTCTGGAATGATGAGTCATGCTTCTCTGTCTGGCAATCCGATGAACGTGTCTGGGTTTAGCAGTTGCCAGGAGAATGGTACTTGCCTGACTGCATTGTGCCAAGTGTAAAGTTTGGTGGAGGGGGGATTATGGTGTGGGGTTGTTCTTCAGGAATTGGGTTTGGCCCCTTAATTCCAGTGAAGGGAACTCTTAAGGCATTACCACACCAAGACATTTTGGACAATTGCATGCTCCCAACTTTGTGGGAACAGTTTGGGGTTGGCCCCTTCCTGTTCCAACATGACTGTGCACCAGTGCACACAGCAAGGTCCATAAAGACAAGGATGAGTGAGTTTGTGGTGGAGGAGCTTGAATGGCCTGACCTCAACCCGATAGAATACCTTTGGGATGATTTAGAGCACAGACTGTGAGCCAGGCCTTCTCATCCGACATCAGTGCCTGACCTCAGAAATGTGCTTCTGGTTAAACATTCCCATAGACACTCTCTTAAACCTTGTGGACAGCCATCCCAGAAGAGTTGAAGCTGTTATAGCTGCAAAGGGAGGGCAAACTCTATACTGAACCCTACAGACTAAGACTGGGGTGCCATTAAAGTTAATGTGAATTTGAAGGCAGGTGTCCCAATACTTTTGGCAATATAGTATGTATATATATATATATATATATACATACTGTATAAATGTATTTGTTTATCATCATAGTAATCAGATATGATCAAACTGTGAGTTGTAAAAAATAGACACAGTTGATGTTTGTATAACACTATGTACTATACAGTAAGTTTGTTTTAACATAATCACTTATGTTTTGTTTTCTGTATGCTATAACCTTCACAGACCTTGATGAAATGGGTAGACACCACCATTTGATCAACATGCTAGACACTGTGATCATTATTTAATGTTTTGTTAAAATTAAATTTAGGGGGCTGAAGCGTGAAGGTAACCAGGGCAGGTGGCAAAGGAATAGCTGTATGTGCTCTCTGATACATATTGTATGTTTACTGCTGATAGTGAATACTGCATTATCAACAGACTTAAAGAGTCTTGTAATCATTGTGAGTTTTAAGTACTAATGGACCACTTTTAATAGACTTAATAAAAGTTAAAATAATTTTAATAATTCACAGTAGTTGTAAAGAAACCATTACAGTGATTTTCTGCAAATACAAGCAATGCACTGAATAGAGATTACAGAAATGCTCTGGACCATATGCAGTTCATTTGTATTCTGATCTTTACTAAAATACTAAGAATACTAGTAGAATACAAGGAAATTTCCTTTTCCAGTGATCTGAAGAAGTTTGCCTTACAACCTTTTTCTGAGTGCTGCCTACTGTTTTATTTATTAACTTTTTTTAATTAAAAAAAATATTTTAAACTTCTTTTATTACAAAAAAAAACATATTTACTCATGAAAAGTATAGGGATACTAAGGACACTTTACCTCTGCATTACTTGCTTTAAACGTCTCCTTACAAAGTCATATACCTCATAGGGAAGTACATCACCAACACAACAATGTTGGACAACACTATCAGTCACACATTTACACCCTTTACTAGCTTGTTTCATTGTACTAAAATGCTAACAGCCTTCTCACTGGATGTGGTCAGAGATGGGAACCTATTGGGATTATGTGTTTATGTAACTGTCAGAGTCACTTCCCTGAATGTTCGCAGGAGGACACTCCACTTTGCTAAGCCTCCCTGAATAATCTCTATGCAGGAGCAATAGTCCCTCTTTAAAAGCTATCCCAGACGGAAACTACCACTGGCTCCTCCACCCAACAAAAACAGCACACAGTTACTAAGACCCTGAGTCCAAGTCAGTATACACAATGTCACAGGATCACCGGATGCTTCCTTTCAGTATCCACCGGACATTCTCCTGTGAGGGAGAGGTTAATTCTCACAATGCCCCTGGGACAGCTAGACTACTTCCAGCTTCCACCAAGCACTCTTCAGTGAGCTCTCCAAACCAGGTCCTTAAGCGAGGTTCCTTAGATTAGCTGTGTAAAAAAGTATCTTAGATGCAGGCCCTTAGCTATATCCCAGCTGGGACCTCAATGAACATGCAGCAAACTCCAGCAATCTGCCCTCAGGCTGGGGACCCCTCCTGCAGGACTAGACACAGGAATAGGACTGGGCTGATCCAGGCCTAAGACTATTTATGTGCTCTTCATCCACCAAGGATTGGCTGCAGCACAATAAATAATAATTCTGCCCTTTACCTATCTTCCAAAAGTCTCAAAAAGGCAGGGAAGAGCAATCAAACTTTCAACCTGTGAAACCCAAAACAGCAAAAGAAATCAACAGCTGTGCCAATGATTACAGAGGAGCCAAAAAGAATTAAATTTAGCCAACATCCCAGCAGCCTATCTAGGAGGGTGCTACACACAGGCAACAAAAAGAGTGATTTAAGAGAGTGAGCTAGAACTGGTAAATGGTCTAAAGTTCCTCTTTACCTCTTAACTTCAGGGGGATGGAAAAATGAGTGGGCGTACCTGGCATACTGGGAAATTTCCACATATATTTGAGTAGCTACAAACTTGCCTGTTTGAGGTTAATTCTTGGTTTAGGTCGGGTGTCGGCAACCCGCGGCTCCGGAGCCGCATGCGGCTCTTTTTCACCTTTCCTGCGGCTCCGGAGCACACTGCCCACCAGGTGACAGGCAATAGGGTCGGCAAGCCGCGGCTCTTTTAATGCAGATCTTCTGTGTGCCGGGCGCCCGCTGGCAAACATTGGCTGTCAGGATGTAGGCGGGGCAGCCCGGATGTAGGCGGGGCAGCGTGACGAACTCCTCTCCTCTCACAGTCCGCCCTGAAGACCAGAACGGCGCGGGAACCCAGCGAGAGGAACGCGCGGAGCAAAGGTAAGTGAATTCACACAATATGGGGAATGAATTACTATGGGGGATGAATTACTATAGGGGGGATGAATTACTATAGGGGGGATGAATTACTATGGGGGATGAATTACTACGGGGGATGAATTACTATATGGGGGGTGAATTACTATAGGGGGGATGAATTACTATAGGGGGGATGAATTACTATATGGGGGATGAATTACTATAGGGGGGATGAATTACTATGGGGGATGAATTACTATATGGGGGATGAATTACTATATGGGGGATGTATTTTCAGTTTTAAAAATGTTTCTCTCAAAATAAATTTCAATCGTGGTTTTGGCGAGATTTGGCTCAGTCGAAAAAAAAAGGTTGCCCACCACTGACCTAAGGCTATGATTGTGATTATGACGATACACTGTGGCCCTGATTAACCCTTTGCTTACTGGGCCCTTAAACCCCCTTCATGACCAGAGCGTTTTTTGCAATATATGCAGTGTCGGATTTGTTTTAAATGTTGCAATGGTTTTGCGGCTCCCAGTCTTTTTTTCCCTCTCGGAAACGGGTCCAAGTGGCTCTTTATGTCTTAAAGGTTGCAGACCCCTGGTTTAGGTGGATAGTTTCACTCATTTCTAATAATTCTTTTTTTGCAACTATATGGTCACAGGGATCTTACATCTCTGTATACAAGAAAATAATCAGGGCCTATGTGGGCACATAGATTAGAGCAGACTCTGCTTTTTAATATTAAACTACAACTTATATTGATTGAAGTGATCTTGCTTGCTTTATCACATAGGTATAAATTGCTGCATGTCAGTCTCTAGACATGCACATGTTAATGAAAACATAATTAATGCAATGACAGCACTACATTTTCTGCCTTAACACTAAAGCACAGAACCCAAAAAGGCAACTAAAATCCTTAAACCTTTTTTGGCTGTCAAAAAGCTGCTTAAGACGCATTGGGAAAAATTCCAGCTTTAGCCTGTAACAAAACTGAATGTCACACGCACTTGAAAATGATGAATATTTCCCAACGGATGATTATAAACTGGGACATCTTGCTAAGCAGAAGCATTGAAAAAGAAGCAAAGATTCCATTAAACTTGATTATGCAATTAGGTGTGTAGAAGATATAATCCTTTAACAATATGAAATCATAGAGTGTATCATCATAACACTACAAAACATGAATAAATAACAGACATTATACTAAAGAGAATGTATAGTCCTTTAATACACTATACTTGTATATGAGCCAAACTTAATGGCTAAGTACACTTTTTGAAAAAGAAAAATAATAAATGCACATTTTTTGCAGGTACAAAAATGTGCATTTATTATTGTTTTTCCAAGGGGCCTGCAGAGCATTGCACCCCCAATCAGCAGATCACGAGTGCAAAGTCAAGCTCCTGCAGGCTCTTGGGATAGCTGTCTTCCCAATCCTCATACAGTCAGGTAGTTACTTGAGAGCAGGAAGAATCAATAAACTACAACAGTGCTCACCAGAGCACTACAAGCTGTCAGCCAAAATGGTACTTGTAGTCTATTAATTCCCAGGAAACTGTAAATGAATGATGTGGCCCCACATGGCTCCACTGTTTTCAAATTGTGACAGCGGGTGTGGGGAGAAGATTCACCATCAGAATGCTTTGCATTTTTTGAATGAATGAAAGTGTTCTGTAATTGGACGATGGGGAGAGCATGACATCACCGCCCTGCCTCTCCACCTCATCCAACCAGAGAACACTTTGCATTCACTCAAAAGATGCAAAACCTTCCCTGAAAGGCACTTGCGCTGAGTGGACAACCTCCTGAGTTCAGAATGCATCAGGCCAGCCTCTCAGAACAGGACGCAGAAGCAAGTGGAGATCACTGGAGTAGCTGTGTCTGCTTCAGTGATTTCCAGCTTCTAGGGGCATTGGTCAGGTACAGTTTATACAATATTTCAAAGAGTAGTAATATGTGACTCAAAAGGAAGGGCTTAACATATCCTTTTCAAAATAAACAAAAATAGCAACTAAAGTAAATCTAACATGACAGAAATATGGAGGCAGGAATCTCTGACTTCAGTATATCTAAGGCCCCTTTCATATGGGGCAGACTCCATTTAGGTCAGCAGGGGATCTATCTGCTGATCAGAGCAGAGCGAGCAGATGACAGGTCCATGTACACTCAGTTTATTCAGAGCGGACATGGACCGAGCCTGCTCTGCTATATGGGTAGCCAGGTGTAA